TCCCAGGTCTGAAAGATCAAATGTCTTGTACACAAACCAAACCCTTGCCTTGAAAACAACCCACTTTGCAGCACACAATCACCTGTTACCCCACCTTTTCACATACAAACACAGCCACATAAATACAACGTACAAGGACTGGACATTAAGAGAGTTGAAATGCAGGGAGGTCAATGTATCAGTCACACACAGCATGTGCATTATTTGTGTAAAAACAGTACTGATCTCAAGCTGGTCCAAACTAAAAACCACAACAACCAAACCCACTGTTTGGTTCGAACCTGTGGCGTCCCTCTGATTTCCAAGTCTTTCAATCTTTAAGGAAGGGGATCGCCCACCTTTACCCTGTGCAGTGTCTAATGTGCTCAAACTGCTGGCCTTTATGAAATCAGCCAGTTTTTCAGACTAGAGTTTCCAAGTTCTAGTCTTCTCGAAGACGAGTTACCATGGAGCCAACTTCTTTCAATGGGTACACATACATACATACATAGAAAAAAAGAGTACTATTTTATCTTTCAAAAGGATGAAAGATGACAAGTGTCTTTACACAAATATAAGTTTTCATTTTCTTCATAAATGCATTCATATATTCTGCCACATTCCAAAGTCCACTAATGGAAGGCAGAATTGGAGACAGAAAATGTACCAAACTTCCAAAACATTCAAGTCACTATTGTGCATTTTACCTATTTCCTAGATGACAAAACTAAGGCCAGGAATGCTTAGTTTGCAAGCAGCAATCAGCAGTCAAATCTATGTGACTTCAAACAGAGTGCCAAATGTCAATTACAACTCTAGGGTCACCAGTTATGCTTGCAGGAAAACAGGTCCTCAACACTGGTTCAGCTACGGGGAAAAGCACTCGTAAACCATGCTGTGAAGAGTCTAAGTGGGTCCCTTACAGAAGAGATGTGTGTGCCTTAAAAAGATTTAATACCAATTCCTTTGAACCAGTAAATTTCAGCTTGAGAAATTGACAACCAAAACAGTAACTGCTTTAACTCATACTGTAACTCGTACGGTTAGAGAAGAACTTTAGAGGACAGAGTTCATGTTAACTCAGGAGAGTAAGGATGGCTGAACAGTTTGTAGGTCATCAATTTCACTGCCAAGAAATGTAGAAATGATTAAGGTGTCTTATTGTAGCGTCAATCACAAGTTTTGATAAATACAGAATACTGCTGGATACCATTTATCATGAAATACAGAGATCACTTGCCCTGTCCCCTGTAAAAGGCCGACCCACACGCTGAGATGTTTGATGACAAGATACCACACGTAGTCTCATGCAGGGAAAACTGCATACAAAACAAACTGCTGTCCACAGGAATCAAGTGGTTCTACAAACTGTTTTCAAGACTTGAATACAAGCATGACAAAGGGCCATCAGAAGACTGCAAAAATTTTCTCATTTTGCTGGGGGCCGGAGACATCCCTGCTGATCCTGAGAAACCTTGCACCACTGTCTCAGAACTTGGAACACACACAGGCCCCAGGCAGGAGTAAAAAACTGGCCTCCAGCACACATGCCAGGCCCAGCAAAACAACTTGGACCTGGCTCCTTCCCCAGGTTTTGTCCCCTGGAAAAGTTCCAAAGCCCCAGAAACAGTCCAGCTCAGAGATGTCACCTGACCTTCAGCATGTGAGCAGGTCTGTTAACCACCTCCTTCAGCTAACTAATTCATCCAGGCAAACTTTACACTTAACTGTTAAACAAGTGTCTGTGACAAAATCTTATCACCTCCTCTGAAAAGTCCCAGCTCCATGACTTTACAAAACCCTAACTTTTATGGATCCAGGGCAGATAACACAGTGTGAGATAAAGCTCAATGAGACTGACATCTGCTAACATACTCACTTTACCTCAACAAACTCAGCTGAGTTGTCCCAGTAACGCAGTGGTTCTGGTCATTGTAATTTTCTGCCAAGTCCCTGTGTCGTCATGGCCCTCCCTTTTTGGCAGGGTCCACCTTCACTGAACTCTCAGGTTTGAAAAGAATAATTAATGCCTGGTCCAGACCCTGGCTGTTGCTTTTAAGTATAGAGAAGGACGGTTGACCCTGCTTTCACTGCGGGATGGAAATCTTAAGGCCTAATGCCACAAAGTCCTCAAGTTGACAAAGTTGCAATATTCCTGAAAAAGAATAAAACAATTTTTAGAAGACTAGTTATTTTTTTTAAAAAAACCTAAGTGTTACTGATTCTATGAAAAAAGTTAGATATGATAACCAAAATAAAACTGCAGACAAGCCCCATAGTCTTTTTGAGTTTTTAAAAATTATTTATTAGCTTTATGATTTAAGGTGTATACTACTACTCCAGTTGGGTAAATCCACATTCAAGAGTCTGACTGCAGGTCTTTTGATTCAGCCAAAGGTTTTCCATTACTTTTGCTCTATAAAACACTACACTTTATAGGTTTTTAATACTTCAGCCATGCTCAGAATGCTGCAGTTTAAGTATGTCCTGAACCCACTCATGCCAAGTTAGGGCAGAAAAAAAAAAATAGAACTGACAGGTAAGCTGTGATGCTGAAAAGAACTAAGCCTGGTGGAGTGTGGTTCTGGTCCTTTATAAACTGTTCAATTTTAAAATTCAGCCTACCATGTCCTCAGACACTGAAAATAATCCAAGTTACTTCCAAAGTGCCACAGAAATAACAATCTTCCATGATTGGTTTTGCTCTCAACTGGCACAAAAAAAAAATTCTCTAAGTCCAGCTGTCAAAGCTATGTTTTCCTAAGAGAAACCATTCCCTTCACTACTCATGGATCTTGTGGCACACAAGAGAGCACTGGAGCAGATAAAGGGAGAAGGGTGGGAAATAGCCTTTGAGATTCAAAGCAGTGGAAAAAAGAGTAACAGATACTAAAAGTTAATCAAAGTTTAATGGCGCCAGTAAGGCATAATTGTGTTCTGGCAGATATGAAGATCTGCTTGTTCTTACCAAAGAAAATGGCACACACATTTTATCAAAATTTGACAATTGAAGAATATAGGGTACTAAAAAGCTTCAGAGCACCAATTTCAACAAAAATGAACAAAAAAGAAAATATTGGTATTTGGAAAAGGGAACTAGAATCAAATGGGGATTATGTGTGTTCTGTCTCAACACCTTGGAGGATTTGTCTGGCCACTCAAAAGCACCGCCTCACACTATCAAACCCCAATCCCAGAAATTACAATAGAAAATCGATGGTTAACTCCAAATTAATGTCCTGGTATAGTCCAAAAGGAAAAGTATTCACAATACACAGGCTTGTCCACTTCAGGTGAAATATAACAGATTGCTCGACTTCTTCCTGCTATGATATTCAAACACGCACCATCCACTTCTGCAAAAACTTGGAAAATGCCTTATTTCCATTCCTAATTTTAGTAGGCAATTCATTTTTCTTCCCATAAGAGCTTTATCTATAATGAATACAGAACTTCACACATTTCCAACATCCCATCCCATTCACATCCCACCCAGTCAATGAATATCATGGTTAACTTAGCAAAGTCTCTTCACAGAAAGACTTAACGATTGAGGGAACTGCAAACTTGAACAAAGTGCTATAATTACTAGAAAAACCCTCACATTGATTTGCAATGTTTCTGGAGTTTTTCTCCCCTAAAGGAATAAAAACAGAAGTAAATGATTCTGGTCTACAAGTTTGCAAGAAACATTTTCACTGTCCTACTTGATATATAATAAATTACAGTACCTGGGAGTCTGACATCAGTTCTTCATCTACAGAAGACTATCATTCAGTTTAAGATATTCAAAAAGGAAGATGAAGCATGCTCTAAAACACTGTAGCTACAAGAGGTCCTAATATGTATGTACTCAAAAGAGGAATCTATTGAGAATTTCTTCTCTTAGGTCTACCCGATAGCTAGAGAAGCTCAATGGGATCTCACCTCTTCCAGAACGAGATTCCAAAATGCACTTCTTCCGGAGAGGAAGTGGAAGAATGGCCAAGGTGGGTTTTGCTTTTCCAGTTATAATAATCACATTAGCAGCTAATTAAACAGACCTTTCTCTTCCATTTAGTGCAATGGGGACAGCACAAAGTAGGACATTTGTGAAAAACGTCCCAAAACAAGACCAAAAACTATCCTACCAGCCCCCACCATCCATCCCCCTACTATTACTGAACCCAAAGGAAGCCCATTCTCAAGTGTGTGATTGCCCTCTCTAAGTCACTTTGAATGCAGGCTACGTGTTTACACTTACCTACCATCAGGATGGGTAGTGTGTGTCTAAAAACTGAGTATTTTAAGCCTACAGGGTTATTCAGGGATTCAGTAATATTGCTACTTTTTCAGCACTAACACACACAAAGTGAATCCAATCAAGTTCTGTGTATTGATTCAATATTAAGTATTAATTGCATGACCATCATAGCACCTCTTTACATCACACAATCACCAGAATTAGAAACTGCTTTGAGAACTGAAAACAGTGAACAGTCCAGCAATTAGAGATTGCACACCGTTAAGCTACAGAAACCAGTGCGTGGTTCAGTGCTGCTGTAAAAAAATGGAAGCCTGCAGATTTGACAGGGAAGCCAAATCATGGTTATTTTTGTTTAAAAGACCATTTTTTCCTTTTTTTTTTTCTGGAGACTGGCAATACTGTTGAAGCAAAATACTCAACACAGCAGGAAATGAAGGACAAAAAAAAAAAGAGAGAGAGAAAAGCATTCTATAACCAAATAAACATCTGATATTTCCTTTCCCTTTGAGAATAAATACAGTTAAGGGCACTTTTAGCCTTGGAACGGATATATGTTTGCCTATGATGATCTTGCTAACGACTACACAATATCTGATGTCCTCTGCTAGGAATATAGTTTTAAGAAAGCCATAGTTACAAGAGGCATCTACCACAAATACCTAGAACTTCCTTTTATGGCAACCACTTTATAATTCACTTGTCTTTAAACAGTGAACAAGGGGGAGATGGCCTCATGTTTCCTTTGCAATCATAGTATATGTTGAGGATTGAGTGGCTTTCAAGCAGCATGGTGGGTGTGAACATGTTTGCAGTTTAGATCATTCTGTTGCGTTTATGGGTTGGTGAGTCTGTAATAACATCGCCACACTGGGCTGCGGTACGCTTTCTAGTTCCACCATTGTCCAAGTGGAGTGCCATTTCTTCTGATATGAAAGTGTTCAAATCGACATCATGGAGTCCATTTCTCCTTCGACTAGCATTCGATCCACTGCTTACATGTGTAGGAGAGCTTGGGGTACTCGAACGCACGCTTATACTAGCCATTGCACCACTAAGACCTAGGAAGAAAAAAACAGGGTTTAGAGTTGCTCGATTATTTATCCCTTTTGAAAGCAAACCATGTCATCAACAGTGTCCAAAGATGTCTGCCTGGTTTCCTTATGAGAGGGTCACCCAACCCCAAATCCCACTTGCCATTGAGTCACTGCCAACTCACTGCACCTGTTACTGCCCCATAGGATTTCCAGGGAAGTCAATCTTTATGAAAAGAGTACTGCACATCTTGTTCCTTCAGAGTAACTGATGGGCTTCAAATCACAGCCAAGTGCTCTGACCACCTGGACACCCAAGGGATCCCCAGGAAGCAGGTAGGTTATATTATTTAAGATCAACCATCTAGCCTTGAGAAAATGGGTCTATTTTATGAGCAGTAGTACCACTACTCACCCAAGTGGTAACTACCAGAATTATGTGTCAAACTATACCAAACTGTACCGGCTATATAATCAAATTCCTCATTCTCTATGTGGTAGGTCCGGTATTCCGTTTATACACCAAGCTGTTAAGTGTTTGCTTTAATAAAGAGAACTTTTTATTCACTACCTTTCCAGCTGTGTGTGCCTGTGCGTGCATGTGCACAGAACAGTCACTTCCAGCCTTGACTGTTCCAATGCCCCTTCTAGATAAGGGACCCTTGTAATTTTATAAATCAAATAGTATACTACTGATCCCAAGAGCGTATGATTAAAAATTGTGCCAGGAAGCTATTTCTATCTTTAAGACTCAGAAAATTTCTATACTGACTACTGCCAGCCCCTACCACCTGGTCCTCAAAATTCCTAACAGGTAAATATGGACCTGACCCTGACAAACCTGGCTATATAAACCAGGCACTTGGTAAACAGGGCCTCAGACCCCTAACTCAAAAGGGTCAACAAAGAATAAATGAAGCAGAGGACTAGAGTAACAGAAAGAACCCTACTGGTCTAAGTAAATGCAGCACATACCCAGGACTCATTCCTGGGATTTCTGAATAGCTCAAGTGCCCAATCTATATGTGGATGTATTCCTTGGAATACATCCAGGGGTTCCTGTCAATTCAATCATTATCGTATCATGTAAAACATCACTTATCCACAAATTCTTCTCCAGGACACTTTTAATCATGCCTTCTTTCCTTAACATCAAAGTTCATGGCATACAACTAAGAAGTGTCCACCTACTTTTCCATCATAACCTTTTAGTACTTATTTCCTAAGGCAGGAGGTGAGAAAGTTACACTGCCAAGTTTTGGCATTCTGCAATGAACAGGACTACTTCAGCAATTCCAATGAGGATCCCTTTTATCCTCTGAAACCACAATAGTAACAGCAATGCCTGTGTGATTAACACACAAGCATTACATGGATTATGCTTACTACCTAGGACAAATAACCCAGGATCACAGAAAAGTCCATCTGACACAGTATAGGGCACTTCAAGCAAAGATTTAATTCCTTCAATTACTTTCTCTCCATGAAAAAGGTATTAAATATCACTTTGATAAATTTTAAAACTTTCACTCAAATCACAATTGAAAAAATTTTTAAAACTTTTCGATCAATTTGAAATCCAATAATAACTCCTGGAAAACCTTAATCTTTTTCTGTTGGGTACATGACCTTGGGTTTTTAGTGTAAAACCCCCATGTTTGTTATCTATTATTGATCCTTCATCACAATGAAAACTTTTCTAAGTTTACTAATTCTCCCCCTCTAAGACTTTGTAAGTGTCAAAAAAATGTAACACTGAACAGCCCATATTTTATTTTATAAACCAATTAACAGCTATTAGAAGATGCTTTAAGAAACCTTAGCTATGCCACATGAGCAGTCAGGCCTACATAAAGTACAGGAAAATAGAAGCATGCTTCAGAACAGGGAAAGAAGTTATACGCCAGAAGGGCATACAACTTAAGTTTCTACCAAAACACACTTTTCCAAAAAGGGCTGTGGGAATCAACAAAGGCAGTAGAACAAAGAGTATGCTTAGACAGAAGCATCCATTTTAAGTTATTATTACTGCAGGAACTGAGCAGGGCATGGGCAAGATGAGGGCTGATATGCAAAGAGAACTCCTGCTGGAGCTAAAATTAATTTACAGTCCAGGTTAAGGAATCCAAGTTACATGGTAATATAATTATCCAAAGGAATACACGGTTATTACCAAGTTCATTTCCAAATTAAGCTCAGAGTAATGCACAAATCCTGTTTCCAGAATTAATTAATTACATGTAATTCCAGTTTCCCAACACAGGTCACACATAGGGACAGAAATAACAGTTCAGAGTCAGTCATCTCACTTCCTCAGCCCAGCAGCCAGGTGCCTGGGAACGCATCCAAGCTCTCTTACTGGTCCCCACCCCGAGAGCCCAGGAGAGAAGAGGGCCAGCCTGGGAGGAGAAGGTACTGTCGGTCCTCTGTAGATGTGTTCCACCATGCTTCTTGCCTCTCGTAGGAAGAGGGATTTGAAATCCCCAACTTCAACAAAGCCAGTGACAGCCTGAGCTAGGTGTTTGAAATTGCACTAATCAATGTACAGTACTGCCTTTGCACGAAAGTTGTGTGTGGATGTGAGTACTTGTACGTAACGTAGTGTTTTAAATGTACCAGAAGTTCATGTAAAGAAATTCTATTAAGACTGGTCATTTCAGGGGAGCTCTGGTGGCCTAGTGGCAAGGAGCTGCAACTACAATCCCAGAGACTCACGGTTCGAATCCACCAGATGCTCTGCCGGGAAAGGAGGGACAATCTCCTCCTGTACCAGTCAGATCTGATTTGACGGTACACACACACAAAAAAATATAAAAAAAAAAAAAAGACTAGTCATTTCAAGTAGATATCACTCCCCACCCCAACCTGGAAATAGTCATACTGAATTTTTATTGAAGTAAAAGCACACTAGATCAAACCAATTACAAAGATACATGTGATCAAACCAAGAAAACATTTGCAGTTATGCTGACAGCCCAAAATGCTTTCAGTTTTTCAAAGACAGTTTTTAATGCCATGGGAAAAGTGCTTACGACGTTAAAATGAAGGAGTGGGGTATCAAGATACAGTACCATTATATAGTTTGATCTCAACTATGAGATATTTTATACATTGAAGAAAATGCACCAAACATTTTAACCGTGGTTATCTCTGTAGTAAGATAACAAGATGCCCATTTTCTTGTTTTTCTGCAATATTCCAAAAAATTTAATGTTTTGAAAATCAAGAAACTAGTGGAAAAAAGTAAATGAGTATATTAAATGGCTTCATAAATATCAGTGACTTACTGAATAACTGCTGTGTGACTACCCTGGCTGTGAGCCATGGCTGCATGCCTTTATCACCTGAAGGGCAGAAGTATGTGGAAGAAACCTACTTACAGGTTCACGACAATTTTGTATAACAGCTGGAAGTGCTACTTTTTAATAGCTAATATCTAATTTATTACACAGAAAATACCAACTTTTCAAATGAAGTTTTAATGTTATAATAGTTGCCTTATACAGCATTGGTTCACAAAGGCTGGTTGGAACAAAAGGCAACATTTAGAAATCCCAGCCTATTTAAGCAACCAAGCAATTGCTTGGTGTAGTCTCCTACACCCTAACTTTCAAGTCAGTCTTTCCAACACATTTACTTTCTAACCAGCTATCAACAGTTATTTCAGGTAGATAGATGCAGGCAGTGACATTCAACAAGCATTTATTAACAATCTAAGATTTTCCCACATGCTGTGCTAGTAGGAGTATGTTTCTCCTTAAGAGGAGAAAAGGGAGATCTAAAAGATGAATAAATAAATAGAAATTACTCACAGGTCCATTATAAACAGCCCTTTGCAACAGTAATTTTAAGAAGTTTCTTTTATATGACAATATCCATTTAGCTTGAAAATACAAAAAATAACCTTTTAAGGCTTGTTTCTAAGCAGTTAGCTATACTGATGGAAGGGAAGACTGGTAGGAAAGGGAGAGAGAAACCAAGAACAAATAACTGCCTGAATCTTAAATTGCTTAGGGTCAACTAATAAGATTGTTTTTCCCCTTAATTCTGGTAATTTTCCTTTTTTAAAAAAAACAAACAAACTCCTACATGTTCAAGCTGCATAGAATCACAGCTTCTCAGAACTTTAGAAGTATATACTAGCTTTATCTTTCAGGTATTACTAATTAGAAACATGCCTTTTACTCGGGTAAAATAATCATACTTACCTCATGCCCTTGAGTCCAATTTCAAATGACTACTTTTTTCTCATAAAGCCCTATGTCCATTTTTTCTAAACTGAAGAGTCTACCAGACTTAAGGATTTAAGAGGATTTAAAAAAAAAAAAATTAAAAATAAAAATGTGTTTTTTAATGCATTAAAAAACAAGGAACTCATGCAATATTATTCAAAATGGTTGACTCTGGAGAACATTATGCTGAGTGAAATATCCCGGTCACAAAAGGACAAATATTACGTGATGCCACTGCTGTAGAATGGGACTGTCCTTGAGGTTGGGGAGAGACTGAGTAAGATGGGTTCAATAATGTATACTGCACTGAAACAGAGGAGGGAGAAAACTGTTTAAAAGAGATATATGACTAGGTACTTCTGTCATCACAGGAGTCTAGAGCGAGGGCTACATGGTGGAGGGGACCTGGGGGAGGGTTTGTAAAACAATGAAAGAATCCTTTCTTTTACTTTTCCATAATTTTTGACTCATGTACTTATAACTTGTTAGTCAAATTTGTGTCTTCTAGGTTGCAACACCCCCATGATACATCTTCAAGGATATGAACATGTACGGCCAAGCACAATCAATAAGAGTGCATCTAAATTCCAAAATCAATCTCCATAATAGTCTATGTGTTTCCTACTGCCAAAGGGGCCCTTTAGAGTAGTAAGAGAAGATCTTCACCCTGAAACCCACAGCGTCCCTTTTCAGCAGGAAGTAGCTAAGAGAATACGCCATCCCCTTTTCCTTATGACTCAGGGTGAAGTCTCTCTCAGGGAGGAGTGATAGGGAATGGCAAAGGATATACTGACA